CGCGGGAGCCACTGGATACTGACAGACATGGAAGAGGCCAGTGGTACAGACACTGAGCAGAGCACCAAGAGGAGTACAGGCCAGCCCCAGGAGGTGGGTGGGGCTAAAGGGCTTCACAACTCACCTCTTGCTGGCCACCCCTGCCCCAGTTACTCCCTGTGAAGAGGCTGCTTGGTCCCGGGCTCTGCCTCTTGTTGATTTCCTGGGTGAGCCATCACACATGGGGACCTCAGTTTGCTCATCTATGACATGGGAGTATGGCTGCCCACCGTGCAGCAAGGACTCTGTCAGAACTCCACGAGAGACCGGAGCCGCAGGCTGCCCAGCTGAAGGCGAAGACGGCCTTAGGTTTTTTATGACATTTGCTTGGGGAGCAGTCCTGGGAAACCTGCTTACCTACAGGGACGCCCTCCTCCTCAGTGTGCTCCACTAACTGGAGGCAGCTGGTCCCCTCTGCCCCTCTGAAGCTGGGAACAACTGAGTTTAGGCGATGGCGAGTGCTTTGTCCAAGGTCACACAGTGGCGAAGGGACATCCCTGAGATTCAGACCAAGACCAAACTTTCTGACTGCCCTCCTGTCCCAGCCCTCTTCGTGGCTAGTTCCGGGGTGGACACATGCATCCTTCTGGAAACCCTTGGCTGGGCAGCTCTCAGCCGGGCCCTCAGGAAGGAGTGTTTCCACAGCCTGTCACAGACCACTTTCCTCCCCAGCCCCAGCCCCATGTTGGGGGGACTCTAACTGTACCCCTCCCTCCCCATCAGTCAGTAGGGGGTGCAAGGAAAAAGAATTGTTGGTGAAAGTCAAAATGCTCTCTATCCTTACGGATTCAATCGGATTCGAGTCTTGGCAGGATCTTTGCCCTTGCTACTTGGGGAAGGAGGTGGAAAGACCCTGAAAAGTTGAGCTTTTCCTTGGATTTGGGGAAAGGGGAGCTTTCCTGGGGTCCTTTTTAAAAGGCCCTCCCCTCATTTCCGGCCGCGGCTGCCAGCCTTGGCTGGGCGCCTGGATCCTGTTGCCATGACGACAGGAAGAGGCGGTGGCGGCGGCAAGCGATGCTGAGAGATGGAGGCTAGTGGGGGTGGGGGTGGTGGCTTTGAAATGGGGGTGGGGGTAGGGTTCAGGGGCGGGGGACGCGAGCGGGGAGGGGCAGGTACCCTGCGTCTCTGGCCCCCTGAGTGCCTCTGAGCAGACCCCTCTCCGTTATTTTTCTCGGGCTCCCTGTGGTGTTCCCCCAGTCTCTGCCTGTCTCTGGGTCTCTGGGTCTCTCTCCAGTCTCAGTCTCTCTCCATCTGTCTCTCTTTCTGGGTCTCTCTTTCCTTCTGCACCTGGCTTTCTGTCTTCAGGCACCTTCTGTCACCCAGAGCCCTCTCCCCTAATTTTCTCTCCTTATTTACTCTCTCCTCCTGTCAGTCACCCTCTCTCCACCAAGACCTTGCCCCCTCCCCGCTTCTCCCCCTCCCCCTTTCCATTGCTTCCCCTCTTCCCAGTTCTCCCCCATGCTCTCAGTCCCTCTGTCTGTCTCTCCCATCTGTCTCTCCTTCCTCCTCTCTGGATGACTCTGTCCCTTGTCCTCCTTCCCTTCTGTTACTCAGTTCCCGACCCCCCCTCCTCCCCCTTACCCCAGCCCTCCCCCACTCCGTCCCTTGGTTTCTCTCTCCGGGTCTCCGTCTCTGTCCCCTTCTCTCCCCGGGTATTTCTCTCTGTGTGTGTCTCTCCAACTTCCTTCTGTTACCAGTCTCTGCCTCCCCCAAATTCCTCCCTCCCCCATCCCTGTTCCCCGTCTCCGAGTCTCTCCTCCCGTCTCTCCTGTCTCGCTGTCTCTCTCCCTCCCTCCCCAGCTCTCACTCTCTTCTTCCCCAGCTTGCTTCTGCCACCCAGACCCTGCCCCCCATCCTCTCCCTTCCCCCATCCATCTCCTCTCGGAGGCTCCCCATCCCTCAGCAGCTCCCCTCCCCCTCCCTCCCTCCTCCCTCCCTCTCCCGTCCTCCAGCTCCGCACTTTACCCAGCGACACGAGAACCAAATTGTCTCCTCACCTTTTTTTTTTTTTTAATCCAGACCCTCACTCCCGGGGGGGCCCAGACTCAGAGCTGCCCCAGCTCCCCCTCCGCCTCCGCACCCCCATTCCTCTTACGCCTCCTCATTTCACCCCTGCCAGGTCGGACGCCTGGGTCCCTCATTGCTGGGGGAGGGGGAAGCTGCGAGAATTGGGAGCCAAAAGGGCTTTTCTGGGGGGGTGTCGGCGGGGGGGCTGGACATCCCTGCCCAGTGCATCGGAGAGTTGACCTATCGATCACAGAGGTGAGACCATCTTCTTATTAATCAGAGGTGGGTGGATGTAGAATTCAGGCTCTCTGACTCCCCTAATTCTGGAGAAAGGAGCCGGCCCGCAGAAGAGAGGACAGTGACCCCCTCCTATCCGGAAGCTTTAGAATTGGAGGGTCCCCTGTTCCTTCCTCATTTGCAGCCGCGGGCAGATGGAGTCAATGAAGAGTCCCTAAAGCCAAACAGATTGTCCCCCAAATTGGCAAAATGAAAAGATCCTCAAATCTTTATTGATGGAGAAATTCCCTCCTTTCCCTCCTCATCCCTTCCTCTCTGTCCCAGGTGGTAGGGGCCCAGCAGTGGGGAGGTACATCCCCGGGGTCACAGGCTCACCCTGTGGAACCAGAGATTAGTCAGGACAGCAGAGGTGGCTGTGCTGGGGGCCAGGGGCCAGGGAGAAGAGGCCGAGAGGCAGGAGAGGGGCTGGCTCTGGCGAGAAAAGAGAGGAAGGGGCCAAGACCGAGCACCAGGACAGAGGCTAGGGACACCAGGTCCAGCGTGCCCAGGGCCCAGGAGGGGGCTGTGTGGGCAGGCAGGAGTTGCAGTGGGGGAGGGAACACATGTGTGGGGCACTAGGCCCCGTTGCCATGGAGACGCCCCCCCTAGACAACCTTTCTCAGCAGCCCCTCCTGGGAGGACCCGGTCTGGGGCCAGCTGATGGGGGGCGGAGAGCCAGAGGAAACTGGGAGGCCAAGGTCACCCTGCAGGGGGACCTAGGTTTGGGGGTTGATCCCCTCCTGTAAGGCTGCCAGGCTCCTTACTCTAGGGGGACTTGAGGAAGAAGTCTAGGAAAGTGGTGGAAACAGCTCAAGGACACATGGCCAGGGGGAGTGGGTATGGTGGCGGCAGGAAGCTGGGGTATGGTGGCATGGTGGTGGGGAGCTGTGAGAGAGAGAAGTGAATGGACAGTGGGGGGGGGCAGAGTGGGCAATTGTTCCCAGTTGAAAAGAGAGTTGTAGTCTTTCGGATCACATTTTTCTGAGGGTGCAGTGGATTAGAGGATCTTTTTAAGTCTGGAAGAAGTTGGGGGCTTCTCTGTAAGTTCCTGCACATGTGAAATGGCTGTGGGGGATGATGTGGGGGTGTTCCCAAGAAAGGCAGTCCATGGGGGCAGAGGAGAGGGTCTCCCTTTTGGTGGAGATGCTAGGAGCTAAAGAGGGTGAAGCTAGCAGACAAGAGTGAGGGGACTGTTCGTGGTGTAAGAGAAGTTGGGAGGGCACTTCCTTGAACCTGAAAGAGAGCAGGGTTCCAAGTGAGTTGGGAGACCTAGAGCGAGCGAGGGATCCTCTGTGATGCAGATGGTGAGCTTCTGATGGGGGCTGAGGGCATGGGCCACAGTGCAGGGACAGAGGACCAGGGCTAGTGCATGCAGGGGTTAATTTTGGATAGCGGTGGTGCACAGGTCAGGTATTGGGACTTTCCTGAATGGAGAGAAACTGGGGTTTGGAGGAAGCAGGTGTTGTGAGCAGAGACGCTCTGGAGCTCAGGGTGGGGGGTGGTCATAATGGAGGAGAATGTGATGGTTATGAGTTAATCTAAGTTGTAGAGGTAGCAGGGCCAGATTTGGAAGACTTTGTTAAGCAAAGGAGAGAGAGTGGGAGCTCTCTTGGAGTCAAAGACAGGACTGGGGAGACATGGGGTTGTCAGAGGGGATGTGACTGCAAGGGAGGGATTCTCCTAAACCGGGGGGTCTAACCTCGCCTGCAGGTTCCACTTCCCCAGGGAGTTCTAAAAAATCTAGATGTTTGGCCGCTCCAGGCCAATTAAGAGGAATTTCCCAGGTGGGACCCAGATATTAGAATTTTTAAAAGTCCTCTGGAAAGGTGTGTTGGAGGCTGCAAACCTGTGTCCTGAGGCACAGGGGCTGGGAAGGGAAGGGGAGTGAGTGAGTGGTAGTGGTCCGGTTATCCTGGCTTGTGCAAATAATGAGGGTCACTTGGGAAAGTTGTTTTTTTTTTTTTTTTTAAGCTGAGGTGGGATTGAACAATCTATTTTTCCTAAGTAGAGGAAATTGTGGCAGTAATGTCAGGCTTATGGAGGGTATTTCTCCAAAGAAGAGGTGGAAGTGGAGGGACTGGGGATTCCCAAATTGTGGAGATACTTTAGGCAAAGCCAGGGTCAGGAGGGCATTTTCCGAGGCCTCCCAGCCGTTGCAGAGGTGGGACCCGCAGGGAAGAGGGGAAGATCTGTACAGAGAAGGCCACGGGGAAGGTGGGGGGTCTTGACAGAAAGGAGGAGGGTCAGGCCTTCCTTGGGAGGAGGAGGCAGTGGGGCCCGGGTTGGGTGGCTTCCAATCGGGAGGACAGTGGCCCCGCAGAGAGCAGCTCTCAGAGTATAAAACCAGGCTGGGGGATCTCTCCCAGTGACTCGTGGACTTTTGGGGGCAGGGGACAATACTTGAGGAGGGTTTCCTTTCCAGGGATGGGGACCAGGGTGGAAGGAGTTTCTTCAAGGGGGGACAGTCTTTCCCGGGCGGGCGCGGGGGAGGGCTGGGAGAGCCTCGGTGCCATCTAATCCCTTCTCTCACCCTGCCCTCCCCAGCCAGAGACCATGGCCCTGCCCTGACCCCCGCCCCGCCGCAGCCTCCTGCTCGCCACCCCCACCCCGCCCCGCCGGTTCCCGGCCCCCAGCTTCTGCCTGCGCTGTGACCCCCCCCCAGCCGCCGGCACGGCCCCGCCCCCGCTGCCCCGGTGGTGGCCCACGGCCCCCCGGCTGCCCGTGGTCAAACTGGAGTCGCTGAAGCGCTGGAACGAAGAGAGGGGCCTCTGGTGCGAGAAGGGCGTGCAGGTGCTGCTGACCACGGTGGGGGCCTTCGCGGCCTTCGGGCTCATGACCATCGCCATCAGCACCGACTACTGGCTGTACACGCGCGCGCTCATCTGCAACACCACCAACCTCACGGCCGGCGACGACGGCCCCCAGCACCGCGGGGGCGGCGGCGCCTCCGAGAAGAAGGACCCCGGGGGCCTCACGCACTCGGGCCTCTGGAGGATCTGCTGCCTGGAAGGTAGGGTGCGGGAGAGCCTGCCGGCCGCCACCGCGCCAGCCCTGCGCTGGCGCCCCGTCGGGCCTCCAGAGCGTCCCTCTCGGTCCCTGCTCCGCCCCACTCCACCCACTCTGCTGCCGCACCCGGCCCAGCTGAGCTCCTTGGCCTCGGCCCGCCTGCCCTCGCCTCTCTGCACGTTGGTGCCCCCTTCCCCGGGGAGCCCCTTAGCTCATCTTTCATTCATTCTGTCCCCCCCTTCCCCGCTCCCAGCACCCCTCCCTCCGCCCTCCCTCTCCCGCGCTCGCTGGGGCCTCAACCCTCCTCTCTTTCCTCCCGCCCTTAGTTTGACCCTTCTTCTCCTCTAACCCGCCATTCCATCTGCCCCTGGCCTCCTGCATCCTCCCCCTTCAACGCTCTTACCCCTCTCTCGGGCCCCATCCACGCCCCTTCCTCCACCCCGGCTTGGCCTCCTCTTGGGTTCCGTGGCTCCCTTGTCACTTCTGCTTTACCTGGAATGGAGGTGTGACTCGGCCCCTCCTCTTCTCCCCCTGCCACCTTCCTTCTGCAGGTCTGTCTTCCATCTGCAGCCCCAACGACTTCTCCAGACTCCCTGGGTGTCCTTTCCTCCTTTCCCTTCATCTTCCCTCCCCTGTGCCTTCTACTTCTTCCTCTGCACGTTCCTCCACTCCTCCTCCTCTCCTTCCTGCTCCGTCTTCCAACTGCTACTACTACCACCACCACTATCTCTCCTTCTCTTTGTGGCACTGAGGATGGAACCCGGAGCCTCACTATGCCAGGCAATCACTCCACCCCTGAGCTGCATCCCTGACACTCTTCATTTTATTTTGAGACGGTCTCACTAAGTTGCCCAGGCTGGCCTTGAACTTGTGATCCTGCCTCAGTCTCCTGAGTCACTAGGATTGCAGGCATGCATAGCTGGATTCCTCGTTTCTAGACCGTACAGTTTCTCTCTCCTGACCTTGCCTCCTCCTCAGATCGCCATCTTGATTCTTTTCCTCTGGGCTCCTCTCTTTCTCCTTGCTAGGTCTCCATGCTCCCCTGGGCTCCTCTCTTTCCCCTTGCTAGGTCTCCATGCTCCTCTGTGATCCTCTCTTTCCCCTTGCTAGGTCCCTGTGTTCCCCTATGCTTCTCTCTTTCTCCTTGCTAGGTCTCCATGCTCCTCTGGACTCCTCTCTTTCTCCTTGCTAGGTCTCCGTGCTCCTCTGTGCTCCTTTATTTCCCCTTGCCAGGTCCCCGTGCTCCTCTGAGCTCCTCTCTTTCCCTTGCTAGGTCCCCGTGCTCCTCTGAGCTCCTCTCTTTCTCCTTTCTAGGTCCCCGTGCTCCTCTGAGCTCCTCTCTTTCCCTTGCTAGGTCCCCGTGCTCCTCTGGGCTCCTCTCTTTCTCCTTTCTAGGTCCCCGTGCTCCTCTGGGCTCCTCTCTTTCCCTTGCTAGGTCTCCGTGCTCCTCTGGCTCCTCTCTTTCCCCTTGCTAGCTCTCCTTGCTCCTCTGGGCTCCTCTCTTTCCCCTTGCTAGGTCCCCGTGCTCCTCTGGGCTCCTCTCTTTCCCTTGCTAGGTCTCCGTGCTCCTCTGGCTCCTCTCTTTCCCCTTGCTAGCTCTCCTTGCTCCTCTGAGCTCCTCTCTTTCTCCTTGCTAGGTCCCCGTGCTCCTCTGGGCTCCTCTCTTTCTCCTTGCTAGGTCCCCGTGCTCCTCTGGCTCCTCTCTTTCCCTTGCTAGGTCTCCGTGCTCCTCTGAGCTCCTCTCTTTCTCCTTGCTAGGTCCCCGTGCTCCTCTCTTTCTCCTTGCTAGGTCTCCGTGCTCCTCTGGGCTCCTCTCTTTCCCTTGCTAGGTCCCCGTGCTCCTCTGGGCTCCTCTCTTTCCCTTGCTAGGTCCCCGTGCTCCTCTGAGCTCCTCTCTTTCCCCTTGCTAGGTCCCCGTGCTCCTCTGGCTCCTCTCTTTCCCCTTGCTAGCTCTCCTTGCTCCTCTGGGCTCCTCTCTTTCCCCTTGCTAGGTCCCCATGCTCCTCTGAGCTCCTCTCTTTCCCCTTGCTAGGTCCCCATGCTCCTCTGAGCTCCTCTCTTTCCCTTGCTAGGTCCCCATGCTCCTCTCTTTCCCTTGCTAGGTCCCCGTGCTCTTCTGAGCTCCTCTCTTTCCCTTGCTAGGTCCCCGTGCTCCTCTGGGCTCCTCTCTTTCCCTTGCTAGGTCCCCGTGCTCCTCTCTTTCCCTTGCTAGGTCCCCGTGCTCTTCTGGGCTCCTCTCTTTCCCCTTGCTAGCTCTCCGTGCTCCTCTGGGCTCCTCTATTTCCCTTGCTAGGTCCCTGTGCTTCTCTGGGGCTTCTGTAGTCTTTCTTCTCTCTCCTGCTCTCAGCATCTGTATTTCCTTCGTACGTATCATGGGAGTGCTGGGCTGGGAAGCACGCATCCTCCCTGTGCACCTGTCCCCTGTGTGGCCTCTTTCTCTACCTCTCTGAGCCTCAGAGTCCAGGTCTGCGAATGAAGGGATAGGACCAGCAGCCCCACGGTGCCCTTCTGCCACCACAAGGTTGAAATCCCTCCAATTTTCTTATTTGCCACTCTCTTTTCTTCTGTCCCTTTCTCCTGTTCTGCTAAGCACGTACACAAGCCAGAAATTCTGTTCTCCCTTATCCCTATGAGGTAGATGCCATCTTCCTGTCAGGGATCAGGAAACTGAGGCTCAGAGAGATTAAGCCCCAGCTATGAAACAAGTGGGCTTTGCAGATGTGCTCACTGGCATCTGGAGTGTTTGAAACAAAATCTGAAATTTGAATCAATTGCCAACAATTAAAGTTAGGGAGACCACACATCGAAGACCCATTACTCTAGAGGCCTCGGAAGACCTGGCAGGGTGGGCTCTGTGGCACTGACTGTGACTGAGCAGCAGGTGCCTTTGCAGATCAGGCATGGCCTCTCCACCTCTCCTCAGTGGCCTCCACTCCCTCTTGCCTCATGGAGACCTAGTCTCTCCTTGTCACTGTGGTCAGGATGTTTGAGTTCATGTCCACTCCCAGGTCAGGCACCAGGCACAGAGCCAGGTGTGGGGCTTGCACAGCGGAACCCGGGACAATGTGTACAAAGATTAAGAGCATCGTCCACTCACCCAACAACCAATTTTTATTGGCTTTATACTGTGTCAGGTTCTGTTCTTGATTCTGGGGCAGCAGAGGGGAAAAGACAAAAATTCCTGTCCTTAATTACCTTGTGTCCTAGAGAGTGACAGATAATATGGAGGTAAATAAATAAAGCATTTAGAGTGCCATAGAGAACCGAGTGCTAAGGAGGAGCAGGAGCGGGGGGCAGGTGTGTGTGGGGAGGAAGCCTAGCACCAGGGACATGGGTGTGCCCAGGGAGCTGGTGCCCTGTGCGTGGAAGCCTGCAGGAGTTGCAGAGCCCCTGGGTGGGAGTGAGCCTGTGCGCCTGGCTGCCAGTGAGGGTTCAGCATGGTTGGGGCAGAGTGAGGGAAGGGGGAAAGCAGGAGGAATCGCAGGCAAAGAGGTAACAGTGTCCTGATCTCAGGTTCCTGTGCATCCCTCAGAGGACCTTGCTTTAACTCTCAAGTTGGGAGCCATTGAAGATTCTTGAGCAGAGAAGGCACAGGAGCCTACCTACTTGGATTTTACCAGGAGGGCTCTTGCTGCAGGGTGGAGAAATGACTAAGGGGAAGGCAAAAGGGGAAACAGGAGTGGCTCATCCCCAGTGGGAACTGTGGCTGGGGAGTGGCTTGAATTCCTAGTACATTCCAGGGCTTCCGTGGGCAGGGGTTGCCACGGTCACTGCTGTGGGGCGTGAGGGAAGAAGAGCCGGCGGCAGCGTCTCAGGCCCATTCCCCATTGTGGGCTGGAGCAGGCTGAGCACCGCAGGACACTGAGCAGCCTCCCTGGTCTCCCCCACTGCGTGTCCAAAGCCCCCTCCCCAGTGTGCTGATCAAAACTGTAAATCGTCCCTAGGTGTTGGGTTAAAATCAGCCCCTTGCCAAGCCCAGGCTCTGGCCTGAGCACCTAAGGACATGGACAGCAGGTGTCTTGTTTCATTTCCTTATTAGGGAGGGACCTGGAGGCTCAGGTTTTGTCATGTTAAATTTAAGATACCCACTAAGAGACAGCACCTAGGACAGAGGGCCGCGCATCGAGAGACCACAGGGGAGTTATTTTAGGCTCTGCGGTCTCTGTCACAACTGTGCCTGAAGATAACTGGAGACTAGGTGAGTGTGTCCGCCCCAATCAAAGTCCCTTTATGGACACTGCAATGTGCACTTCATGTCACTTCCCCATGTCATGGGATCTTCGTCTGTCATGGGCCGCACATCACGTACAGATTGTCAAACCCCTTCTCAGCCGCCTTTGTCATAGGGCTTCAATCTGCTGCCCCTCCTCAGGGTTGTTGGCCAGCGGGTGCCTGAGGCTGCAGTCAGGGAAGAGATCAGGCTGGAGGTGGGAATGGGAGGGTCATCACTGTAGCTGCAGGAGAGGTCACCTGGAGAAGGAGCCAGCTCAGAGATGGAAGGGTCAAAACACAAGGGAGGGGGGAAGCAAGCCGAGGAGATGTGAGCAAAACCAGGTAAGTGGGTATCCCGCCCACCAGCCAGGCTAGCGTGTTGAGGACGGGTAGGTGAAGGCTGACTTTATTGTCACTGTAACTGTCAATCATTCATCATGGAATGCTATAATAACCCTGCCAAGTAGCTACTGTTAACTGGAAGAGAGAGCAAGGGCTCAGAGAAGGGCAGTGCTTTGCCCAAGGTCACACAGCTCATGCCCCTTGGGGTCTGGATTGGAATCCAGGTCTATTCTGTTTCCCAGAAAAGCAACAAATCCCCCAGCAGGAACCCAGCCCAGCAGGAAGCCAGGAGAGGAGAAACTAGACCTCTGAACACACTTCCCATGGGGATTTGGAGCTCAGTCCTCATCTCCCCAGTGGAAAGTAGTATGCGACACAAGCTCTGGGACAAGACGAATGGATCTACCTTTGTCAGCTATAGGCAGCTGTGTGACCTTGGGCCATGTATTTAACCTTTCTGACCTTGGGCCATGTATTTAACTACTTCTTTTCTTTCCTTCCTTCTTTCCTCTCTCTTTCTCTCACTGGGGATGAAACCCAGAGGCACTTTATCACTGAGCCACATCCCCAGCCCTTTTTTAATTTTTTATTTCAAATCAGGGTCTCGCTAAGTTGCATAGGGCCTCACTAAGTTCTTGAGACTGGCCTCAAACTTGGCCTCTTGCCTCAGCCTGGGATGACAGGTGTGTACCACCCACTTGGCTGTATTTAGCCTTTCTGTGCTTCATTTGTCACTGGGGAGGTAGGATGGCAGGAGCCCCTGCTGCCCCAGGTCAGAGAGGCAGTGGAAGAGATCCTGTGAGTGCCACTTTACAGGCTGGTAGGTGCTGGGAGGGCTGGATTATGGGGTTGGCATTTTGTTGTCTCTGCTGTTTTCTTCTTAGTATTACTAGGCAATCAGGCAACTGAGCCCTGGGTCCTTCCTCCTAGTCACCCAGGCCAGATAGAAATATAACAACGGCCACATATTTTCAAATATCTAGTAGTGACATTAAAACAAATGAAACTAAATAGGTGAACTGGATAGTTTAACCCAGCATGGCCTGAATGTCATTTGAACATGTAATCAATATACAAAAAATGACTCGTGAAGTATCGCACATGCTCTCTCCACGTGCAGCCTGGAGCCCGTGTGTTCCCCGCACGCGGGTGGTGGTTGTCACCTGTAGGGCTGGTGGTCATACCAGCGGCTCTGTCAGTGGGTCCTCCAGAGTCTAGTCTCCCCCCTCGGCTCTGCTCAGGACCCAGGAGGCCGGACCCACCCAATCCAACCTCCCTCCCCCGCGCGTGCTGAGCATGGCTACGCACTATCTCACCAAGAGGGTCCTCTGGTTGGTCAGAGCAGGAAGCCCCGGGACCCTTAACCCATGCTTCCCAGCTCCACCTCCGTGTGGGCCAGCCAGCAGACAGAGGCCTGTGCTGTAACCACCACGCCATCTCAGGGACATTTGGGTTCCTAAAGCAACACAGCTGGGAAGCCACAACTCTGAGGCTGAGTGTGGAGGGTTGCCTCCGGAGCCCGGGCAGCCACCATGGTCTATGGTCCACACAGGCCCAGCTCAGAAACCAGGGCTGCTCGACTTCCTCCAGGAGTGTCCGCTGGAGATAGGCTGACTTCTAGAGCTGTTTTGCCTCAGTTTCCCCAATTGTGAAGCAAGGATCCCACCACTGTCTTCCTCCTGGGGCTTGTCCTAAGTAACGAGTTGCATGTGGCTCCTGCCCCATGCTGCCTGGTAGCCACTGGGGCTAGGTGCTAGGCAGTACTGTCCGTCCTGTGCATGGTTTCAGGCCCATCTCATGTAAGTATTGGTGCTTTGAGAGAAGGACTGTGATTCCACCCATGAAAAGGAGAACTTGAGCTCACAATCTTACCTGTGACCCCAAGGATGGGTCAGAGTTTACACCAGGGAGTGTACATCCATTCACCTTCTCTTTTTAAAGTTGGGGTACAATATGCATGACCTAAATTTACCATCTTAATAATTTTCAGTAATGTTAAATACATTCACATTGAACAACCAATCTCCAGAAGTGTTTTCTTCTGCAAAACTGAAACTCAATCCATTCCCCCCACCCTCCAACTACCATCTACTGTCGGTCTTGATGAATCGGATGCCGGATGCTCCAGATGCCTCTTATAATCATGCAGAATCTGTCTCTCTGTAACTGGCTTGATTCACATAGCACAACGTCCTCAAGATTCATCGGTGTTATGGTGTGTTTCATACCTCCTTCCTTGGAAAGGCAGAGTGATATTCCACGGCATGTATACATCACATTTTGTTTGTCTTATCCATTCATCTGTCAATGGACGTTTGAGTCTTTTCCACTTTTTGGCTATCTGAATAATGCTGCAATGAAAATGGGGTGTAAATATCCCTTTGAGTTCTTGCTTAGTTCTTCAGGGTGTACCCAGGGTGGAACTGCTGAGTCATTTGGTAATTCTGTTTCAACTTTTGAGGAACCTCTGTACCAACAGCTCACAAAGGTCCCCATTTCTCCACATCTTTGCCAGCACTTGTAATTTTACTTTCTGCCTTTTAAAATAGCAGCCTTCCTACTGGGTATAAAATGGTATCTCCTTGTGGTTTGGATTGAATTTCTCTAATGTATAGTGATGTGGAGTGTTTTTTCTGCTTCTTGGCCCATTCAATCATTCTTTTCATTAAAAACAGTTATTGAGCACTTACTATGTGCTAGGTATTGTCCTGGATGCTGTGAATACAGTGGTGAAGAGCCCAGATGCTTACAGCCCAGAGGTGTGTGTGTGAGTTCTGCTTCCTCCACCCATCAGTCCTGGGCTAATGAGCCATGCAGTGCCCAGGTTTCTGTCTGGACAATGGCTGCAAAACATCAGTTACCTCTCCTGGTCTAGACCAAATCCTCACATCAACCTGGACATAGGTCCCATTTTCTTTTTTACGGGTGAGGGAACAGAAAGTTGGCCTATGTATTGCAACAAGGTAGAAGGTGTAACAAGAGTGGATGGAGTCAGGCTTCCTGCCAAAGGAAGCAGTAGGACTGTGTGACACCAGCATGTTTCATGGAATCTTTTTTTTTTTTTCCTTTTCTTTCTTTTTAATTCCTAGGTGCTGGGAATGGAACCCGGGGCTTGGGCCACACTAGGCAAGTGCTCTAGCACTGAAGTACGCTCCCAGCCCTCAGGGGGCTCTTGTGTACCTATTGAGTTAATCCACCTAGGAAGCACTTAGCAAATGATCATTTTTATTGGTATTACTCACTGCTGTGTCCTCCTTCTTACCAATTCTTTTCTTTACCCCCATTTCTTCGGCTCTTCTTTGCCTGTATTGGTCTGCCTTTACTCTCCACTTCTGCTCGCCTTCTATTCTGCCCATCATTCACTCATTCATCCGTCTATTGTTCTTCTAGGTCTCTGGGTACCAGGCAATGCTAGGGACAAGGAATCTGACTCCAGGCCCTTCCCCTTCAGGAACTCCCAGCTTGAGTAGGATGATTGTAAATCAACCCAAGCACATCCTAAAAGGGGCAGCCAGGGAGCTGTTGTACCCAAGAGGAGGCCACTGGCCCAACTTGTGTGTGTGTGTGTGCGCGCGCGCGCTCGTGCGCTTGTGCATGTAGGGAATGCTTTTTAAAGGAGCTGCAGGGTAAGTACTGCATCAGCAGAGAATGTGAACAGAATGTTCCCTGGCCTGGAGGTTGGAGGGAGCTTGGAGAGTTGAGGAATTTAAATTTACTTATACTTTTTTTTTTCTTCAGCTATGTGCTAGAGGTTGTGTCTCCAGACAGTGTCTCCAAAGAAGTCAGATAGGTTTCCAGAGGGTGTGAGGATGAGGATCCGAGGAGAGGACACTGGGATGAAGGAAGAGGAGGAGAGCCTTCAGTACCCCTAGGGCCATCCTACACTCCCTCCTCAGCCACTCCATCTCTGGAGGTTCCAGATTCTGTTAGACTGGGAATCCCTCCCTCTCTTTACAGGATGAAGAAACTAAACTCCCACGACCCACTGGGCTGCTCCCTCCTGCAACTGGACTTCGCAGGGTCTCAGGGGAAGTTCAGTCCTTGTTTTCCCACGCATTTTCAGACTTCTCAACAAGTTTAGGGTTACAAGGGCGGCTTGACAAAGTTGAGACCAACACCCTTTTCCTCAGAGGGGAAAGAGAAAGCCAGACAGGTTGAGTGTCTTAGCCCAGGTTACAGGGCAGACGTCCTGGAGCCTGTAGTACGTGCTTGGAAAGATATTAGCCTTTGGGTGTTTTTTTGTTTCCTTTTTAACAGGTGGGGAAACAGACCAGAGAGGTTGAAAGTTGTCCCGATACCGACACCGGCTCAGGGCCAGGACTTCTGTCTCACCATCAGACCAGAGAGAAGGGGTCTGGGGAAGGGGGGGGCTTTCTCCCTGTGGGCCGCCCCGCCCCGAACTCTGAAGTTCCCACCCCCACCACCCCCGTCCCTTCTCCAGGGCTGAAAAGAGGCGTCTGCGTGAAGATCAACCATTTTCCGGAGGACACGGACTACGACCACGACAGCGCGGAGTATCTGCTCCGTACGTGGGGTCCGGGACAGCCGGGGGGAGGGGGCTGCCGGGCCAGCGCTGGGATCACACGCGTAGGTTAGCTTCCCAGCCGATCCGCGTCCAGACGCTCAGATCCCCTGGCTCCCCATTGGCTTAGTGATGTGTCCCCGCCCCCTCCTCTCACCTCGGGGCGGGCCGAGGGGGATCTCGGCTGCTGATTGGCCGCCCGGTTCTCTTTGGTCCTCGCGGCAGCTGTGCACTATGACTGGCTGTCGACTCTCGGGCTGGGATTGGCCGCCGCGCCCGGGCAGTGGACCAATCCGCGGCAGGGACGGGCCACTCCAGGAGCGGGCTGGGGAAGCCTGGGCTGCGATTGGTAGTCACCCCGAGAACGCGGCAAAGCTTGGGTTACGATTGGCTGCAGCCTCAGCCGGGCTCTGAAATCGCAAAGTCTGGTTGCCTGGGGTTTTAGAGGTGGATGGAAAGGACTGCAGAGAGATAGAGAGGGAGAAAGACAGATGGAGGGAGAGAGAGAGATGGGGGTGGGGAAGAGGAGAGGCCAGGGAAGGAAGAGGGGAGAGGGCAGCTAGGAAGAGGGGAGGGAGAGCGAGCGACCCAGAAAGGTTGAATGAAGCCAGGCAGAAGTCACGGGGAGGGGGGGTGCTGGAGAAACTCTGAAAGAGATGACGCCTGGCAGAAAAGGGAGGAGGAGGGAGGGGAGAGAAGGGGTGTAGACAAGTATGAAGACATTTGAAAGATCTTGAGAAAGGGAAGATTCGCAGAAGGGAACACCAAGAAAGAAAAAAGAGACATGGGAGAGGAACAATGGAGAAGCTGAGAAAAGAATAGAGAGGGAGAGTGGTTTAGAGAAAGGGGAAAATAATACGACAGGAGAGGAAAAACACAGACCAAGGAAAAAAGAAAAGGAGGAAAAAAACGAGAGGAAATCAGACATATAAATAGATGGAGAAATTTTTAAAAACAGGCGGGAGAATAGAAGAAAGAAAAAAGAAAGGATCACAGGCAGAGAGGCAGAATTAGAGTACTAGATCCAGAAAGAAACAGTGGCGAAGGCAGGCAGGAGGCGCCGCGGGCCGGGGAGCGCAGGCGGCCCGTCTGACCGCCCTCGCTCCCTTCCTCCCTCCTTTCCTTTCTTCCTCCCCGCAGGAGTTGTCCGGGCCTCCAGCATCTTCCCCATCCTGAGCGCCATCCTGCTGCTGCTCGGGGGCGTGTGCGTGGCGGCCTCCCGCGTCTACAAGTCCAAGAGGAACATCATTCTGGGAGCCGGGATCCTGTTCGTGGCAGCAGGTGAGAGGCAGAGGGAAGGGGCGGCGGGCTGGAGCGGTCCCCGCGAGCGCGCGCGCGAGTGTGTGCGCGGGTCTGCCTGCAAAACGACCCTACCCCGAGCGCCCCCTGGAGCCCGAAGCCTTTCTAGGCTCTTCCCAAGCTCCATCGCCTCCCGCTGGGTAAGGTAGGTGTCTTCTTCTTGGGCACAGACCAGTGTCTGGAGCGTAACCAAGGATGCTGGGAGCTTAGGTTCCAAAGCCCGCGGTTCTGGAGGCGGAACGGGAGGAGTTTTGGAAAGAGGGTGGGACCTTGAGACGGGCTTGAGATATTGGGGTTAGGGGGGCGGGGCTGGCCGCCGAAGGGAGGGGTCAGAAGAGGGAAAACGTGATTTGCTTGAGGATGGTGAGCAGCCTGCTTAGTAGATTAGCCTAGAAGGGGGTGGTTCTGAGAAACCATGTAGAGATGAAGGCTGAAGGGGCTAGGCCAGTAACACAGGGTGGAGGAGGGGCTAAAAAGATTGGGCGGTGCCTGGGAAATTCAAAATGGGAGGGATTATGTCATTAAGGGCATTATTAACCTGGGTGATTTAGGGCGCTTAGACCAACTCCTTGAGAGGCATGTTATTAGGAGTAAGACCCCCCCTTCCCCTTTCTACTCTGCAAGAGTAGAGCTGGGAAATTCCAGGGGCAGAGTCGTTTGAAGGGGTAGGATAAGGAGAAGAGGGAGGATTTAGCATATTTAAAGAGCAGGGTATGCCTGGGGTTGGGTCTAAATCTGCAAGGGAAGATCTGGAGGATCTGAAATTTGGAGCTAGTTAGGCCTGAAAGGGGTGTGGAGGAGCTTTGCTTAGACCCACAGTGGGCGGGGTTTGACAAACTGGAGGCGGGACCTAGAGTTGAAAGGGGACCTGATTTATCAAATTTTAAAACATCAGGGGAGCGCCTGGAGTAAATACCCAGGCTGGAGAGTGTAGATCAGCAGTAGACAGGACAGAAAGAGATCACATCGTTGAGTTCAAAGGGCAGACGGCGGAGACTGAGTTTATAAATTAAATCAACCAAGAAAGGATCTGGAAACCCAGGCTGTGACCGTCTCACCAAGAAGAGTGTTTGGACCATCAGAACAGTGCAGCCGGAGCTTGGGCTAGCAGGGGCGGAGTCTAGGCCACTGAGTGGAGCTCAGACCATCCGGAGCCCTGTCTGTCCCATTGCAAGTGGAGGGGCGGGGGTTTGGGGCCTAGGTCCTGAACAGAGATTGGCCCAGTGGGGCGGGGCCTAACTCCCTGGGTGGAGCTTAGCCCTCGCGGGGCCTGGCCTGGACTGCGGGGCGGGGCAGGGAGGGGCGGGCCCGGGCCCTGGTGGCCTGGAGGCTCCCCTCTAACTGTCCCCGCCCAGGCCTGAGCAACATCATCGGAGTGATCGTGTACATCTCTGCCAACGCGGGCGAGCCGGGCCCGAAGCGGGATGAGGAGAAGAAGAACCACTACTCGTACGGCTGGTCCTTCTACTTCGGCGGGCTGTCCTTCATCCTGGCCGAGGTGATCGGCGTGCTGGCCGTCAACATCTACATCGAGCGCAGCCGCGAGGCGCACTGCCAGTCTCGCTCGGACCTGCTCAAGGCCGGCGGGGGCGCGGGCGGCAGTGGCGGGAGCGGCCCCTCGGCCATCCTCCGTCTGCCCAGTTACCGCTTCCGCTACCGCCGCCGCTCCCGCTCCAGCTCCCGCTCCAGCGAGCCGTCGCCGTCGCGGGACGCGTCTCCCGGCGGCGCGGGCGGCCCGGGCTTCGCCTCCACGGACATCTCCATGTACACGCTCAGCCGCGACCCGTCCAAGGGCAGCGTGGCCGCGGGGTTGGCGGGGGCCGGCGGCGGCGGCGCGGGCGCGTACGGCGGCGCGGCCGGGGGCGGCGGGGGCGGCGGCGGCGGCGGGGCGGGCGCCGAGCGGGACCGCGGGGGTGCGCCCGGCTTCCTCACGCTGCACAACGCCTTCCCCAAGGAGGCGGGCGGCGGCGTCACGGTCACCGTCACCGGGCCGCCCGCCGCGCCCGCGCCCGCGCCGCCCGCGCCCGCCGCCCCCGCCCCCGGGACCCTGGCCAAGGAGGCCGCCGCCTCCAACACCAACACGCTCAACAGGAAAACCACGCCCGTGTAGGGGCGCGCGGGGAGCGGGGCGTGTCCGGGGCGCGTGCGCGGGCGCGCGTGCAACGAGGCTGCCGGGTCGGGGCGCCTCGCTCTTCCCCGAGAGCGCGCTGGAGACTGCGTGGCCTGCCCCCGGCGCCCCTCCCCGGCCCCGGGCGTCGGGGAGCCCCCTCATCCGCCAAAGGGACCCCAGGGGAGGGGTGAAGCAGGGAGGGGGCTCTGCTGAGGGAGCGTCGTGTTTTATTTTTTTTTTTTTGTGGGATTTAGGGGGCGGGGGGAGGACCGTGGTGTTTTTTGCAGTTTTGAGATGTTTTCTTTTTAATGTTTTGCTGTGTGCATGTGGGGGCGGGGCGGGGGGAGGGGAGGGAGGGACTCCCAGCCCAGCCCAACTCCTGGAGAGGGGCCCATAGCACACGAGTTACACCTACATACTATATATAAGCTCTACGTAAAGGGAGAGGTCAAGAGAAGGGACTCGGAAAGGCAAGTGACTAGACATGGACGCAGGTGTTCGTTCACTTTTCCATTCATCTTTCCACAAGGGCTTATTACGCACCTGCTGTGTGGCAGGTGCTGACACACAGGAAGGCACTGGGGAAGGGGCATAAAGGCAGGCGCAGAGAGTTACTCGTTCATTCATTACTGGCAATGTGTGTGCTTAACTGCCAGGCATTGTGCTGAATGCTGAGCATACAGAGGGAGGAAAACAGACAGGGTCCGAGGTCCGGGACATCTTCAGAGTTGCATCTTGCACATGAGACAGACATTAATCCGAGAATTATGTACACATACAAGAGATTACAGTTAGGATGTAGGAGAAACCCGAGATCCTCCAAAATGCTCTGTGAGGGAGGGGGCTAACCCAGTTTAAGTTTTAGTAGACACTGAAAGGATGACAAGGAGACAGCCCAGTGGAGCTGGGGCCATGTGTCCCAGGAAGAGAACAGCATATGCCAAGGCCCTAGGGCAGAAAGGAGCTTGCACAGTATGCTGAAGTGTAGTGAGCCGGGTGGACAGAGGAGCCTGGAGACAGGACCAGATTGTGCAGGGACTTGTAGGTTGGGTTTTATTCTTAGGGGGCTGTGGATGGCTTTAAGCAGGAGCACAGCATGAATGGTGCATAAAGGAAAGGCAGGAGCCTAGCCGAGTATGGAGCAGAGGCAACTAAAATACTGCATCACACAGTCACTGGTCCTCCAGGCTTGCACTGGTGGCAGAGAGCACACAGTCACACATGCTGCAGCACAGGCATGGTGTCGTGTGCAGGAGAATCAGACAGCAATCCAGGTTTCACTATTTTCTCCAGCCGCTGGCATTCAGGTGCATGTGCTCTGGTCCCAGGCAGGAAGTTAGGGACCCCAGAGGTGCAAAAACCCCCTCACTCTTCCCCAGGAGCTGAGCACTGTCAGGACGCACAACCCAGGCAGGGAAGTGGGCGTGGTGACTGGGACCACGATGGGCCCCATGGAACACAGAGGACAGTGGCCAGGTGTGGGCAGGGAAGACTCCCTGGAATGTGATGCCCAGTCTGGGTCTTCAAAGAAGCACGTGTCTCCTAGGTGATGAAGGGGACAAGGAAGTCTTTCTGGGCAAGAACAGTTGGGGCAGAAACCCAGGGAAGAGGAGCAGCATGATGTTTTGGGAAAGTGCTGACACCTCCGGGATGCTGAAATCCAGGGTGGAGGAAGAGGTCAGGCAGGGAAGTATCTCTAAGCCAGGGTCTAGCAGTGCCTGAGTCGCAGACCAGCCGGAGGCTTCCTAAGGGCAGTGGAGAGGATGACAGTTGAGGGGGGTAAAGGAAGTGGGTGTGCCGAGGAAGGGATGGAGTTGAAGGTCACCGAGAAGGCAGGGTGCTTCATTTCCCTTCATTTGCTCAGCAAGTATTTCCTGTGATGCTGGGTGCAGGGGACTTCCCATCCCGTCCTGTGCTCCGGGGGCTCCCAGTCTGGTGGGGAGAGAGACAGGGCTCAGCTGCACAAGGCAGGACCTGGTTAGTGAGGTACCATGAGGTCAGGGTTACCTTGGGAATAGGAGACATCAGAAGGGGGACCGATGAGGGAGGGGATCAGAGTGGGCATTAGAAATTTGCTTTGGGGCCTGTGTGGAAGGGTTAGAAATGGGGGCAGGGGAGGCTGGAGTGGGCGAGCCTGGGAGGAATTCTGTGATGGTGGTTTCAGGAAGGAGATGCTGGAAAATGTAGAGAGGATACGAGTCAGTCAGACTAGATAGGACTTAGTCTGATGCATGGAGAGAAGAGGGACAGGGAGGTGAGAGAAGAGGGGCGGGGAGGTGAGAAGAGGTCCAGGGAGAGGTGCATTCAAGGGGACGATTGATGGGGAGGACAGAACTGGCTAGGGCGTGATGGATTCTGCAATCCAAAGGCCAAACAGCAAGAAAGGTGGAGGGTGGGCTGCAGGAAAAGTGAGATGGGGGGACCACAGGAAGAGTGAGATGGGGGGGCCGCAGGAAGAGTGAGATGGGGGGGTGCAGAAGAGACCCAAAACAGGTGAGTCCTAGAGATGGGAAAGGCGAAGACTTAGGAGATTCCGAGAGGGAGAAACTGAAAACAAGATGCGCGAGCCTTCACAGTATCGGAGAATTGCCAAGCGCTGACCTGTTCAAGGCTCAGTCTAGGCCCACAGGGTATGGTGGTGAGCTGACAAGGGCCTGCTCTCCCTGGGCTCCCAGGAGGCACGTGCAATACACACTGAAGAGTGCTTCAGAAGTGAAGCAGGATGACAGATCAGGGCAACTAGATAAGCTGCGTCAAGAGGTCCTGACTGCCAAGTAATGTTTGAACAGAAATGTGCATTCTGAGAGGGCAGGGGAGGAGAGAAGGGCTTGGGACAGGAACCCTGGCCACCAAAGGTGGCAGAAGAAGCCTGAGTAAAACCAGACTTCCAAGGAGGCCTTTGTGAGCAGAATAAACAAGGGCTAGTTGACTGGGTAAGAAGTCCAAAGTGCAGAGGGCAGCTCGGGCCTTGTAGCCTGGGAAGGAATTTGAACTTTATTCTGGGTTTGATGAGAAGCCTTGGGGAGCTCTGAGCACAGGCATGCTGGGATCATATTTTTGTTTAAACAAAACAATAGCAGAATTGTGGTGTTGTGCTGGGAATAGACTTGGGGGTCAAAAGCAGAAGCAGGGGTTGGGATTTTTGGAGTTGATGCCTACAGTGGTGGCAAGCTGGCTGTTCAGGGAGGTAATGAAGCCCAGGGAAGGGGAGAGAGGATTCTCCGGGTGGGCGCTGTGGCCAGGAAGGGGGAGGCAGGGTTTGGTGGTAGGAATCCAGGGTTGTCGTAGGGATGTGTCAGGTGGGGATGCCTTTGGGAAGTAAGTCCAAGTCCGAGTATGGAGCAACCAGTTGGAGACATCAGACAGAGTGGTTAAAAGGTCGTGGCTGGAAATACAAGTCTTGGAAACGTCAGCAGATGAAGGCATGGAAAGCCACAGAATGGGATGGTAACTTAGCAGCTGTGTGCAGGTAGAGTGACCCTGGCAAGAGTCTTGGGGGGACATCTACACTGGGGGAGAAGAGCAGGTAGCAAAGGGAGCCAAGAAGGAGTGACCAGAGGCTGGCAGGAAGCAGGAGAGTCCTTGAGGGCCTAAGCACAAGCATTCTAGAGGAGGAGGAGGGGGCTGGGGTTTGGCTCCGTGGTGGAGCGCTTGCCTGGTATATGGAAGGCTCTGGGTTTGGTTCTCAGCACTGCAAATAAATACATAAAATAAAGGTCCATCTACAACTAAAAAACACACATATGTATATGGAGGAGGAGGGGCCAGCTGTGGGGAAGCTGTTGCGGAATCGGAGAAGATCTGGGAGCAAGTGACCAGTAGGTTTGGTGAATGATCCTGGCTGATGATCTGGACAGAGCTCACTTCAGCTCAGGGGCAGGGACAGAAGCCCTTACTGGGGAAGAGGGAAAGGGAATAGAGGCAATTAAAATGACCCAGACAAGGAGAGGAAGACGGGAAAAGGCACCCTGAATACAGAGAGCTATTACAGCAGGCAGGAGAACGATGGGGTGACCCCGGCCAGCGGGAGAGTTCAGGGGTGGTGAATAGAGTCCGGAGGACCCCAGCCAGGCCTCTTCTGTCCTTTGCTGCTGCTCATGCAGGCTCCGGGACTCTCCGGAGCCTGAGAAGACCCAGCAAGGCAAAGGGGAAGAAGAGGTTTCCTTTATTTTCTGAAACGAAAGTTCATTCAGACTCCCCATTGCCAGAACCTGTGATCAAAGAGCTGTGTGTGCCCCTGAGGGAGAAAGGCAGCAGAATACAGAGGGAGGTGTGCTCTGCTGGGGGAAGCAGGTACCTTCCCAGCTCCGTGGGGGTGTCGGGGAGGCCCGAGGCCGGTGCTTCCTCCTGGCAGTTCACTGGCCAGTCCTCGGCTCACTTGTTCATTCACATCACCTACCACACCTTATAAGGCCGCCTGTGTACCTGGCCATGAGCTGGGTGGTGCAGAGGTTGCCCCTGACCCCTGACCCAGTCTGGTGGGAGAGCCAGACACCTAAGCAGACAGTCGCATCCCAGGGCACTGGGGGCTCCAAGGGAAGAGTACAGAGCAGGGGCAGGCAGGGAGGGGTGCCCCAGAGCCATGGTCAGCTGGCATCGGGCCTACCTGGAGCAGCATCCTGGGTGGAGGTTGATGGCAGGTGGGTCCCCCCTGGGCAGTCTGCAGAAGGGCTGAGGGAGGGGGTGAGGGGTGATGACCAGGCCCTGCTGCCATGCCACCCAGCTGTCCCTGCCCCTGCTCCTGGGGGAGCTGAAACTGCATGGAAGGTCCCCCAGGGGTGCCCTGAAAATAAATTCATGAAGAGGACGGCTGCCGTGGTTCACGTGTCCCCAAGCCTGGCCCTTCCCTCACCCTTTTATCTCCTGGGATCTGAGGGCCAAACCCCCAGAATCCATCCATCCTTTTAAGACCCTGGGTTCTGGCCCATCTCCCCCAGGCCCAGGGTCCAGGCCCCAGTCCCCCTCCCCCAGTCCTCCCTCAGACCCAGGGGTCCAGGCCCCAGTCCCCCTCCCCCAGTCCTCCCTCAGACCCAGGGTCCAGGCCCAGCCTCCTCTCTCAGACCCAGGGTCCAGGCCCAGCCTCCTCCCCCGGACCCAGGGTCCAGGCCCAGCCTCCTCCCTCGGACCCAGGGTCCAGGCCCAGTGCCTACCCCCTCAGCCCCTTCTGTCCTAGTGACACAGCACTCCGGCTTCCCAGCCCTGCCTGCTCTGGACAGAAACCCGTTGTTCCCTGTCCCGTCCTGTCTGCCCATGTGGGAGGCTGTAGTTGGGACTTTCAGCCCCGCCCTTGACCCTTCAGGAAATCGAACTCTGGGCTTCAGCGGCTTTAAGACCAGTCCCGGCCCCTCCTCTCCCCCACCCCGCCCGGGTTGTCCCCTTAAAATACCCGGGATCCCTATGGCAACAGGCGCCGGCGACAGGTGCGGGTGTTATTTACGGGTCGAGCCCGAAATAGCCGGGAGGGCGAGGGGATGGGCGGGCGGGGCGAGGCCGGCGGACGGACGAGCGGGCGGAGGCCGAGCGGGCGGAGGCCGAGCAGAGCCGACGGGTCGAGGCATTGCGGAGCTGGGGTCGGCGCGGCGCCGAGGCAGGAGAGCGAGCGGGGCCCCTGCCCAGGAGGCCGGGGTGGGAGGCCCGAGGGGGGCGCGAGGCCTGGAGCTGAGCCAAGAGCCCTCGCAGCCGCCGGGCAGGCCCTGGGAGCCCGGGGGAGGGGGCGCAGAGTGATCCCCAAGGGACTGAGTCCTTCCGGGTCCCAAGAGTCCTGTGGCGTCCAGATACCTTGCCCCTGCTTTCTGAGCCTCAGTGAGGACCACAGCTCCTCAAGCTGAACCCAGCGGGGATTCGCGGTTCCCCTCTGAGCAGCGGGCGTACCCCAGACTCCTTTATGGACGCCCAGCCACCGTCCCTTCTGGACCTCGGCCGGAGTTTCCGGCTTCTTGGATCTCTTTTGAGCAACTAGGGAGACTCCCTTTCCCTTTTGCTGAATTCCAGGGGACCCCCAGAATTCCTCTGAATCCCGCTGATCTGCTGTGAATGCTGGGGCTCCCTGGCTTCTCTGAGACCCAGACCTAGCTCTTCCCCTTCTGTTCCCCAGAGGGTCCCCAAGTCCTCCCTCCTCAAACTCTGAGCCCAGAGGATCCGGGGCCACATCTCTCAAACACACAGCAGGGCTAAGCTCCCTTTTCTGGGCACCCCAGACTCGGAGCCCTAGTGGAGACCCCAGAGGAGCGCCTCTGAGCTGGGGTGGGTGCTGGGTTCTCCTGCCACTGCACCCCCAGGCACCCCCTGGTGAGGTGAGCCTCAGGGCACCTGCCTTCTCTGGGCCTGGTTCTCTTTGCTGAGTTGGTGAGCAGCCCCGGCTCCTCCTGGGAGGCTTCCCCTCCTGGGGTCTAGGTTTCTCAACTTCCGAGCCCCGGAGGACACCTGACTCCACCATTTGAGGTTCAGCTCTTCCTCTCTCATATCCAGCACCCACTGAGCCCCGGCTCCCTTCAAGGTCCCAGGCTGTGCCAGGCCCCTCCTCCCGCCCCTCAGGACCCCTCCTCAGCTCTGCCTGCTCGGACCTCCCTGAGCCCCATCTGCAGCCAGGATGATGATGTGGTCCAACTTCTTCATGCAAGAGGAGGACCGGCGGCGGGCCGCTGCAGGCCGGCGGCGTGCCCAGGGGCAGAAGGGAGTCCTCCTGACGCCAGAGCAAGAGGGGAAGATTAAGCTGGTGCTGCTGGTGGTCTCCATAGGTGCCACACTGGCCGTGCTGGCCGTGGGCACAGAGTTCTGGGTGGAGCTCAACACCTACAAGGCCAACAGCAGTGCCGTGTGTGACGCCGCCCACCTGGGACTGTGGAAGGTGTGCACCAAGCGACTGTGGCTGGCGGACGTGCCCGAGGGCCGTGAGACCTGTGGCCCTGCCGAGCTGCCTGGAGGTGAGAGGCCATGCCCTGACCCAGGTAGAGAGACTGAGAAAGCCACGCCCCAGAAAGAACCTGGGCCCCCAGGAGAGAGCTTGCACCCCAGAAAGACCTGTGCACAGATCTGCCTGGGCTCTCAGAGACAGACGAGGGCACTCAGACCTGGCCCATGTTCCTAACTGGCTTGTCCCCAGGGGGCCTGTACCCCATCACCAGCCTGTGCCCCCACACCCAGCTGGTGCCTTCAGAGAGCCTGAGCACATCTGACAGCACATCCCCACCCACACCCCCGAGATGCCTGCACCCCTGTGCATGTGCCCACAGAGAGCCTGCGTCCCAGACAGTCTTCCCCCTGGAGACAGACGGACTCCCTGGCTGTGAGCTCTGGGCAGACAGACCGCCCTGCTGCCCACCCTAGTGTAGAATCTGTGCAGGTTCACTCCCTGTGAATTTGCCAAATGAAGCTCTTGCCAGTCACCTGCCAACGTCCCGGGGCGGGCCTTGTGCCCTGGCACCATTCATTCCTGCCCCTGTCCCCTCCGGAGGCCTGACTGCAGCTCCGGCCCTTCTCACTTTCTCTGCAGACTCTCCACGCCCCTCGCCTCCCCTATAGTAGTTCTTTCGTTGCAGGTGTGCCAGAGGGCTGTCCCTTAGCTCTCACTGACGGCACATGCCATGCCCTTTACCTGTCCCAGCAGGCCTTCTTCATGAGAACTGGGCAGGAGCGCACTTCTCTACCCACCCAAAGAAAACATCTTAGGCATCTCCCCTCTGGCCATTCAGGATGCCACCTGTGAGATTGCCCATGTGGGGTATCCAGCAATGCCGTCCACACAACGCCCCACAATTGCAGCATCCCTCAGAAAGGACCCTGCCCTTCTGGGCTCCAGATGGGGTTTCTGTCCTGTGTTACTTCTCCAGGTGGATTTATCCATAGGGTCCAAATAAGGGTGTCCTAAGCCTTTCCTAGCAAGTGGGCACCAGGCATCCTCTGCTGTCCCGAAGACTATCTTGGTCACTTCACTTCTGTAGATGAGCTGTCACCCCTCAGGGTCTTGAGCAGGATGATCTCCAGCTTCCGAAAAGCGGGATTCCCCAGTAATAAAAATATGAGATGAGTACGTAGTTCCTGGCTCTGTTCTAAGGAGTTGCTGTGCATGGATTCATCACCTGTCCTGCCAGCCCCGTGAGTAGTTATCATCAGGTCCGTTCCACCGAGGGCAGCGAGGAGGCGCGGGGGACCTCAGTGGCTCAGCCTGTGAACCAGGCGAGTTATGTGGGGTTTGGATCTTGGCTATCCCTGCTCCCACCTCACTCGTCCATAAGGAGCTTCCATGGCTCCTCACTATGCCAGAGGGGTGTCCTGACCTCACTAAAAAGAAGATGGGGCTCCTCACATCTCTTGCTGTCCCCTCTGCTGGCCAGGAGGGCTTGCCCTCCTTATAGGGCTCTGACCGTCACCCGTGCAGGACCTCTCAGAGTCTCCTTATGTCTGAGAAATGGAATGACTCATGTCCCTTGGCGGTGACAGCTGCCTCACACCCGTGGCTTTTCAGATGGGATTTGCCATATCCTCTGGGGGTCAAGAAGCCAGAAGTCCTGAGTCATTCATAGCCAGAGTGGGACACGCCACAGCCCACACTGCCCCAGCAGGACCTTCACCCTTCCCTAGGGATGTAGGCTTCTCCACCCACTGCACCCCACCCTGTGGCAGGAAGCACCGTACCCTTGCTGCTGCAGGATCAGGATTCGCACCTGTCACTACTCCTTGCTGGGCACCGCATGTCCCTCCCCTTCCCCGGTGCTCCAGGGGGCGCCCACTCTAGCTCACCGGACTCAGGGGTGTCTCTCGTCCCTCCATATCCTCTTCAGTAGGAAAGTCCCGTTTCCACTTCTGCAGGCCGCATGGTCCCCCTGGGGGTCCTTTACTCCTGTGGGTCTCACGCCTCCCCCTCCCTAGCCTCAGTTTCCCCACCTGTAGAGCAAGAGCGTTCTGACTGGGAGAACCCTGAGGGGAGATCTGCCTCTAAAATGCAGTTCAGAAAGTTCTTTTCCTTTGTTAAAGTTTCTCGGACACAAAATACACAACATCAAACGAATCCCACTCCCAGGTTCGGGTCCTCAGATCATGACCCGCCCGGAAGATCCTTCCTGTGCTGTGTTTGATAACCTGGTTCTTTTTCATTCCTTCCTGACTCAGCTCTTTCAGGTGTTTGACAACGCATTCGACCTGGAGAGCAGAGCCAGTTTCTACCCACCTGTGTGTGTTGACTTGCATAAATGGTGTCAGGCTGTAGATTTTATCCTGCTCTTTAACCAGCTAATTCGACTTTTCTTGCTCAACACCCTCTCTCAAGTCTTCCCGCCTTTGTTATCGTAGTTCGGGGCTACTGCGTTCTGCAGAGCTTTCCACAGGGAGGGTCCCCTCGTGTATATGCCTGTCCTTGAGAGAGGGACACCTGGGTCATTCCTGCGCTGTTATTTATAAATGATGCTGCAGTGAACACCCACACCTGTGTCCCCTGTATGTGCTTTTTCCTGGGTGCAGACCCAGAAATGAAACAGCCAGGTCCCGGGGTATCAACATCGCTCATGTGTCACGCCGCGGTGGGGACCTGTTCTGAGCAATGCATCCTTAATGGATTTTGTTGTTGTGAGATCATCGCAGAGTGTGCTCACTCAGGCTCAGAGGACTGCGACCTTGCTGGGTGAGGTCATCTTAAGGACCTCCGTCCTACAGGGGCCCATTCTCCACTGATGGCCATCATGGAGCGCAGGACTGTGACACGCTCCATAAAGCGTGTCTGAGTCCTTCCCCCACAGCCCAGGACAGCCTCACTGCCGGTTGTTTCCGCTTGCTGCCTCCCTTTTAATATCCGCAAGGTCTAATTGATCCAAAGTGGCCCCTCCCTGCTGGCTCAAGTGCGTTTCTCTGGCTCCTGCTGGAGTGGAGCTCTTCCTGTGCCGCGGGTTCTCCAGGCTCCTTGGCTGCGGGTGACCAGGCGGGGCTTGTGCCCTGTGCAGGGGGGCGCCTCGGACAGCAGCCTGCAGGGGCTCTTTGGATTCAGGTGGGAGGGAGCGTCCCCTCTTCTGTTAGCCTCCCATGACCTGCTTCTTGGTGGCCTTTGTTGAGTAAAGTGGCTGTCTCTCTCTAATCCCACTTGACCCTCAACAAACCTGCAGGAAGGAGCCAGGAAAGAGATTATCACCTCCTGTTAAAGAGGAAGCACCGGACGCCCAGAGACAGTTAATGGCCCACTTGAGGCCATGGATCTAGTCCTCTGCAGGGGCGGGAATCCCCGGGCGTCCTGGGCTGCCAAGAGGCGTTTCCCCCTCCTCTGCACCAGGGATGCTAAGGTGCTCTTTTAAGGCCCCTCTGAGCTCTGTTAAGGGTCCACCCTGGAAATACACACAGCGCCTCACGTCATCTCCCTCCCCCTTCTCTCTCCTGCTCTCACAGAAGCAAACTGCACCTACTTTAAATTCTTCACCACGGGGGAGAACGCCCGCATCTTCCAGAGAACCACAAAGAAAGGTGAGCAGGTTTCACGCTGTGACGAGGGGCTGGGTGCTGGCCACGCTCAGGGACGGCTGGTGGCACCGCTCCTCCGCCACTCTGCCCGGGATGATGGGCTCAGCTCTGGGGTCCGTGGACGTCCTGTCTCTGGGAACTGGTGGTGCAGCTTCTCCAGACTGTGACCCCTCACCTTGCCCAAGCCACAGGCCACGTGACTGGGCAGTCCCTCTCTGAGGATAGCACTCTAGCATCTCATGAATGGGCGCTTGGGATCGGTAAGCCCCACCCTGGGCATTATGCCCGGATGATCTCCAGTCCTTGGCCTGACTGCAGGACACAAGCGTTGTCTTCCTCCTCCAGAGGAGATAACAAGCCCAGAGAAGGTAGAAGCAGTCCGCCCAGGAAGTGGCAGAGGCAGGATTCGAACCCAAACAAATCTTACCGTAGAAGGGCACTGCCCAGAATCCCCTGTGGAGATGAAAATGCTCTACTTTGGGACCCATCCTGCACACTTGGCATGTGGCTGCTGTCACAGGGGAGATGAGTGTTGAATTTTGTTTCATTTGTCACATTAAAAGTGAAAGCCCACGTGTGGTTAGCAGCTGCCACCACACTGGACCATGCACCTCTGAGGACTTTGTCCTTTCTGCTCTGAGCACGGCTTCTCCATCACGGGGTGTCCCCACCAGCACAGGAATTGGGATCGTGACATGAATCTGGCTTCTATAAGGATTTCATGAGACAAGGCTTCTAGAGGCTTCCAGAGCCCAGGGCTTGCAGTGACCCCTCACTACCTGCAAGCAGTGGTTCCTGGCCTGCTCCACCTGTTCTGTCTCACCTCCTTGCTGGTTGAGCACAGTGGGGTCACCATGTACTTCTGGGACGGTGACATCATCCTGGTGCTCACCTGTGGCCCACCTGTGTGTGCCAAGCACACGGCCCACCCAAGTAGGGTTCTGGACCATTCCCCGGTAATGTACAAATGATGACCAGATGATAGTAATGATCAGTTGCTCACATCTCCTTCTAAAACCCAGGCTTTGTGCCTTCTGCTCTGTGGCCTTAAGCAAGTGACTGACCCTCTCTGAGTCTTAGTTTCTTCTACAGGATTGTTATTGGACTGGACTGGGCAACCGACTTGACAACTTTTCTACAGTCCTGAATCATCCATCTTCCTGATCCTGGGCCCCTGTAAAGGAAACCTCTTGTTCTCTCTCTGTGATCTCTGCTTCTCCCCTCTCCCCTTGCAGAGGTGAACATAGCCGCTGCGGTGATAGCCGTGCTGGGCCTGGTGGTCATGGCCTTGGGCTGTCTCTGTGTCATCATGGTGCTCAGTAAAGGTGCCGAGTTCCTGCTCCGAGTTGGAGCTGTCTGCTTTGTCCTCTCAGGTGAGGGCGGAGAGCCTGGGCTGAGGGCATTGCATGCTGGGAGGGGGATCCCCAAGAATTGTTGCCAGCTGGGAGGCGGGATCTGTACACACAATTGCATGCCGGGAGGTGGGATCTCCATGCACTGCTGCATGCTGGGATTTGAGGGGAGCCCAAGGGCTATCATAGGCTCAAAGATGGAGGAATTCCAAGCCCTTTTGTTGGCTGAGAATTGGACAGTCTACAAATACCATTTTGATCTGGACCTGAGGTCTCCAAGGATTGTTGCACGCTTAGGGGTGGGAACCCCAAGCACTGCCGCATGCCAGGAGCAGGAGGGAGCCCCAGGGCCCTAGAAGTCTCAGCCACAGGACAGCTCCGAGCCTGTTGCTAGCTTGGACTACTCCCCAAATACCTTTTTAGGTTTGGACCTGGAATCCCCAGCAATGTTGTATCCTGGGGTGGGGAGGTCTGCAGTCAGTGCTGTGTGCTCTGATGTTGGGAAACCCAAGGGCTGTATCAGGCTCAAAGGTGGCAGAGTTCAAGCCTGGTGGTTGGCTGGGATTTAGAGGGTCTCCACACAGGCCTTGAGATTTGGACCTGGGGCCTGGGGTCTGCAAGGACTCTTGCATTTTTGGAGTTGAAGGTCCAGAAAAAAATAACTGCATCATAGGAAATGTGGCCCTTGACAGTAACAAAGACTTCAGTTTATTGTACATCTAGCTCAGAATACCACAGGCCTGCTGCTGTGTTTAACTGCATAACCATCACCTCTGCATTAACCTATGATCGTGAGCATCGTGTGCATCCCAAACTTATACAAAGACAACTAGCTTAGAATAAAGTTACTTTTAAGTAATGCCAGCACTGTTTTTACAAAAAGAAAAGCTTCACATGATGGTTGCACCAGACTTTTTTGCAAAAAAAAAAATTAATAATAATAATAATAATATTTGGCATAAAATCCATGACAATTATGTGGACAAATTCGGTAGTAGAGATCACTGTTCTTCATTCTGTAGTTGAGAACACTGAAGCTCAGAAGAGGCAGATGAGTTATTCAGACTCACACAGTGAGGACAGAGGTGGGCTTGAGCCTGGGCCGCATTCTCCAAGCTCACCTCTCTGGCTGCACACACTTGGCACCTCGGGGAGTACTTTCCTGAGGTGTCTCTGTGGGCTCAGCACGGTATGGGGAGACGAAGGCATAGCCGGGGAGTCAGTGGTCTAGCTTTTGTCTTAGTCTGGGTCCTGAATCAGTATACGACCCTGGGAAAGTTCCATTCCTCTTCTGGGCCTTAGTTGCCTTGTTGAATCAAACTTTTCTCAGGTGGAAAGAAAAATCATTCATTACACTTCCTTTCTGTGAGTGTTTATGATCATCTACTATGATCCAGGCATGGTAGGGGCTAGAGATAGATACAAGACTACTCTGCTATCAAAGGGCCCCAATTTGGGCGGAAAAAGAGTATAACTAATAATTACATAAGTCATGATTCAACTGAATTGGTGATGAGAGTTACCATAAAGCTTATTAAGGGGACGTTCTGTGGTGGTGGTATGTGGCAGAATAGATAATCTAGAAAGCAATAGTTGAGCTGATAATTGAAGGATAATAGGAATTATCCAAGGTACAGTGGTGACAGTTGTAATGGCAACAGGTGATGGTGATGGTGTTGGTGGTGATGGTGATGGTGGTGGTGATTGATGGTAGTGGTGGTGTTGGTGGTGATGGTGATGGTGGTGGTGGTGATGGTGGTGATGGTGATAGTAGGGGTGGTGGTGGTGTTATGTTCTGGTAACAGCGATGGTATGGTGGTGGTTATGGTGGCCATTGTGATGGTGGTGGTAGGGATTATGATGGTGGTAATGTTAGTGGTGGTGATGGTGGTGGTGGTAGTTGTCAACGTGATGGTGAAATAAAATGGGCAAAGGCTATAAAGCATTAGGGAAGTTTGCAGAACAGAATGAAGATCAGAGTATAAAGCAAGGCAAGTCTTGCAAAAGTGCACACAGCAGCCTCTATGGACACGTGAGGCAGAGGCCTGGAAGGCGTGCGGGTGTTCAAGAGCCACACAAATGGAGAAGAGTATTGCCGTGTCTTATTCGTCGCCTTAGAGATCTCCCTAGGTAGAGGGGGAAGTTCAGTCATTCCCTTTCCTTTCTTTCATCTATTCGCTAGTTCATCTAATTTACTGTGATACAATGAATAAATGCATAGCTACGCGTCTACACACATACATGGTACATACGTTGCACATGCATGAACACAGCAGATGTCTGGAGGCAGTACCCTAACAGTGCAGAACGGTGCCTGTCGCCATGCTGACGGGTCTGACTACTCAGACAGGAGCCGCACAAGCAACCCCACAGTTAGAAGCCATAGTGGGTGACATGAAGGACAAGGAGCGTCCCCGCGGGAGTGAGCAATAGGAGCACCTGATTCCATACGGGGAGTTGGGCAGCCTGTCCGAGGCAGTGACCTCAACGACGTCACATCATAGTTAAGCAAGGAGAAGAGAGCTTGGTGAACTTGAGGTCCTGAGAGAGGGCCACTGTGACCCGGCCTTGGAGAGGGGTGTGCTGGGACGGGGCGGCGGGGAATCAGCAGGGAAAGAGCGTGTCTGGATTGGAGATTGGCTTGTGATCTGGGCAGACTCTTCCCATCCCTGACTTAAGTCTCCTCACATCCAGAACTCCCTTGCTTTATTCAGATTTTCACACCCGCGACTAAAAGACCCGACCAGAACAACCGCAGAGGAGGAAAAGTCCATTTTGGGGCTCACGGTTGCCGGGGTCTCAGTCCCTAGAAGGCCAGCTCCCTTCGTCGGGGCTCGAGGTGAGGCAGGGCGTCATGGTGGAGGAGAGTGGCCGAGGGAAGCCCCGCACGTCAGGGTGATCAGGAGGCAGAGACGCCCCTCTCCAGACACAAACATCTACCCCAAAGGCAGGACCCCGAAGGCCACCTCCTCCAGCCTCACCCTCCGGCCTCCAGTCACCACTCTGCTAACCCCGTGGGGGTGAATTCACTGAGTGGGTTGGGGCTCCCACAAGCCAATCATTTCTCCTCTAATCCTTGCATTGTGTCGCCCGTGAGCTTCTGGGGGACACCTCGCGTCAACCCTGACCTTCCAAGGGTCCACCCATCAGGTGTTCACCCTTCCTTCCTCCCACGGAGCCTTCCAGGGACCCGTCACTCCTCCCTCCCTCCACTGTCCGCCCTCTGGGCCATCAGCCATGTCTTTGCTGGGTGCCCTGCTCAGCCCCACCCCAGGGAACGTGAGTCAGAGGACACCTTACCGAGGACTGCACAGCTCGCAGGGGCAGGTGCCGGGGCGCTCACACCTGCCTTCTCCCCAAGGGCTCCTCAGAGTGTTTTATTCATGTTGGGCGTGTCCTGCGGGTTGTGCAGCCAGGCGGAGGCCAGGTGGCCCTGACACCAGGCGAGGTGGCCCTGACACTGTGTGGTTGTGCTGGGTGTCGGGATAGGGGGGCGGTCTCTGTAGACAAAGAGACAGGCACAGCCGATAGCATGTCTTTTCCTAAATGTCTGCGTCAGTGTCCTTCGGGGATTCGGGGCTGTGACAGGTGGGCGTGTGTCCTCAGGGTTTAGTCCTGGGGTGAGATGGCACTAGGACAGTCTCATGTGGATCCATTGTTGTTAATCACCAGCCGTGAGGAGCTGCCACGGAGGAGAAGTAGAGTGTGAGGAAAACATGCCGTGCCTCCACAGGGCCTCCACAGGGCCTCTGCTGGGCCTCCTCTGGGCCTCCACAGGGCCTCTGCTGGGCCTCCTCTGGGCCTCCACAGGGCCTCCTCTGGGCCTCCACCCTGCCTGTGGCCGGCTGCCCACGCCTCCGTCTCTGAGGAGGAAGACCCAGTCATACTGGATTGCAGTCCTTTCTGACGGCCTTACTTAATCATTTCCAGATGTGGCCATGTTCCGGGGACTCGGGGTTGGGACCTCCACATGTGACCTTTAGCTGACCGTTCATCACTGGATGAAGCTCCGGGGGGACGGGGACTTGGCTGGTCTCATCTGTGTGTCAAGCCCTTGTTACCCACGACCCCACTGAGGACTGCTGAATGAGGCGGGTCAGCCCAGGGGAGGGGCTGCGCGGGCTCCAGGCTGCGTGCCCAGGCCCCAGGTTTAAAAGATGGAGGAGTCGGGGTGGAGAAGGGAGGCAGTGGCCTCCGGCCCCGGGGGTGCTGTCTGGTGGTTCACAAGACTCTGCAGCCCATTTGCCACCTCGGCCCCCCCCCACCCTGTCCCGTCCACAGTGACCGCCCTTTCTTTCCCTCAAGTGTGCGGCGCTCCCTCCTGCCCCAGGGCCTTGGTGCCGGCTGCTCCCTCTGCTTGGAGCAGCGTTGCTCAGTCTTCTGTGTGGCCTGCTCCTTTTGGTCCCTGGGCTCAAGCGGCTCTTGGTGACGCCTCCATCGGGAGCGCCCGCCCACCCTGGCCGTGGCCCCTGGTGTGAAGTTCTCCCCGCCGGGCGTCACCTTCTGAACTACCTGCTCTCCCGCGTTCCCTGGGGAGGCCGCGCCCTGGCAGCCTGCAGCTGGAGACGTGCAGGACACGAGGCCCGTCAGGCAGGACAACTCCAGATGACCCTGAAACAGAGCTTCAGATGTGACAGGACCCTGGAGCCAACTGTGGCTTCCTACAGGTCCACGGGGGCCGGGGTCGCAGCTTGGTCCCCTCACGGCTCCGGCCCCCCCGTGCCTCTGTGCGTCGGTGCTTTCTCATGGCTCCTGGGGACACTCGTGTCTGCAGGCCTCAGTGCCTTGGCTTAGCATCTGTCCCCTCCGGGAGGGGATGGTGGCTCCGGGGCAGAGAGCCGACACTGCCTCCGTCTTGTGTTCTGCTGTTTCTTAACTGTGCGGGCCTCGGCCTGTTTCCTTCTTCTCTTTAGTGATTCACTGTCACTCTTCAGAAAGAGCCTTCACGAGTCTTTTGGGGGCGGGGCACGTAACAAGGGATTGAACTCAGGGCCCTTAACCCCTGAGCCACGTCCCCTTTTTCAAAATGTACTTTATTTAGAGTCAGAGTCTCGCTGAGTTGCTTAGGGCCTCGCAGAGTTGCCGAGGCTGGCTTTGAACTTTCCATCCTCCTTCCTCAGCCTCCTGAGCTGCTGGGGTTACAGGTGTGTGCCATTGTGCCCGAGTCTTGGAGTCTTAATTTGAACTTTGTGTTTCTTGATTCCTGTGTTTACTTTTTGATTACAATCACAGGGCGATGCACCCAAGATGCCACTTGCCCTCTTACCCATTTGGAAGCATGCCGGCCAGTGACATTAGGGACATTGGCAGCCATGCATACAAAACTGTGGTGGAACTCTGACAACCCCTCCCCACCCCTCTGCCCACCCCTGGGCAGCACCAGGCTGCTTTCCGCCTCTGGGGACGGTCCTGTTCCTTCTGTCCGCTCCCCCAGCAGGGCCTGCGATACAGGAGGTGCTCAGCCACCCCATCCACAGGAGCGTGGCAGGCGCCACGTCTGCCCAGATCTGTGCACCCTCCCGGGTACTTTAGACCTCCCGGGTGACTTGGTGCCATGTGCCTTGTCCCGCTGTCCTGTTTAAGGAAGGGTGACAAGACAAGCGGCCTCTCTCTGTCCCGCAGGCCTGCTGCTCCTGGTCAGCCTGGAGGTGTTCCGCCACGCGGTGCGGGCGCTGCTGCAGGGGGCCGCCCCCGAGCCCGGCCTGGCCCCGCGCCTGGCCTACGAGTACTCCTGGTCCCTGGGCTGCGGCGTGGCGGCCGGCCTGGTCCTGCTGCTGGGCGGGGGCTGCTTCCTGCTGCTCTCCCTGCCTTCCTGGACCTGGGGGTTGCTGTGCCCCAAGCGAGGACCCCCGGCCACCTAGCGCCTCCTGCGTGCCTCCCAGGCCTGCGCGGCCCCTTCCTCCAGCGGCCCCGGAAGACCTGCGGGTCCCCTGGAGGACTGGCCCTCCCGGGGCCCCTGCACCTGCTCCCACCAGCACCTTGTCCTCTGGGAACACGCTCTTCTCGGTGGCCGACTTGGTGTCATGGAGTGGGACAGGAAGAGGCTTTCTGCACCTGAGGGTTCCCTGGGGGGGGCTGGTGGACCTGATGGGGAGACTGAGGCTGGGGTGGGTGTGGGGGTCTCGGAGGGGGTCGGGCCTTCCTTTTCCAGGTCCGGACTGGTTCCCCTGCGGAGAGACTCCTGAATCTGCAGCTCGGGTGGGATTAACTCACTGTGACCTAACTGTGACCTGATTTGAGATTAAAGATTTGGAGATGTAACGGCTTTGATTTGGAGTGAGTCTGTGACGCGGCCGTGCTTTCTGGGGCAGGCCGGAGCGGCCTGTGTCCTCCCCAGAAACCCGCCATCACACCTGTCAGCCCTGGAGTCCCGCGGGAGCCCAGGGACGTGGAGACAGGAGTGACGTGGGTGACGGTCGACTCGTGTCCCCACCAAAGGCCACGTGCTGGGGGCCCGACCCACAGTGCCTCAGAGTACAGCCTTGTGGGGAGAGAGGGTCAGCGGGGACCAGGTGACGGGTGGGGGAATCCAGAAGGACCGGTGTCCTTGTGAAAGGCAGATGATGTGGACACAGACGCACAGAGGGACAGGCACCTGAGGGTGCAGCGGAGGAGGAGGCCCGAGCACCCTCCCTCCTGGCCTCGCGGGGTCCAGGGGTGGGGGACAGGGGCTGAAAGACGTGGAGGTGGCTCTGGAACTGGGTGCTGAGCACAGGCTGGGCCAGCTGTGGGGTCGTGAAAGAAGCAGCCCGGGGTCCCCGGGAAGCCTGGGGAGACTGTGGTGTCATAACAGGGGCATTCTGGGGAGGGCTTGGGAGGACAAAGGAGCAGGACAAAGGAGTGGGAGCCACGGACCACCCACCCCACTACTCACAGCGGGCGTGAGTGGGCACTGTGGTCAGGGCCAGCTTCTTCCCTTAGGAGACCCCCATGCACCTTGCACCTCCTGTGTTCTGGGCGCTGGGCTGAGCGTCTCATGAGCATCATCTTGGCAACAGGCACAGTGCTGCTGAGCTGCCGTCCATGGGCTCATTGGACTGCTGTAAGCACAGTGGATCAGAGCAGTTAAGCAACTTTCTCCAAGTCACACAGATACTGAGTGGAGAAGGTGGGGTTCGAACACGGATCTTCTGCACAACCATCCTCACATGTGCCAGGAAGTGTGAGAGAAGAGGAAGGATCAGTATCCCTGGAAACGAAGACCTCCCACCGCCATCCGTGAGCTTGGAATGGGTCACGTTAGTTACTGCACGTAGTAGTGAGGTGACGTCACACTGGTTCAGATGGCCCATGGCCAAGGTCAGGAAGAACAAGCTCTGAGGAGCTCTTAGACGAGAGGAGACCTGGGAGACAGGCCAGACGCAGACGGTGCAGGGTCCTGGGGCAGAAATAGGCCACCGACAGAAACACTGGCTAAGTCGGAGTCCTCGCGGACCTGACCAACATGGTCATGTGGGGGGTCACTGCAGGGGAGACCAACGCCTGGTGAGGACCTGGGGCCCCTCTGGACTGCCTTTGCTGCTCTCCCGTGTGTCTGAGATGATTCCAAAGGGGAAGTCCCTTCCCACAGACAAACTCCACCAGTGGGCCGGGAGCTGGGTCCTCCTGGGCACCTGTCATCCCTGATGCTCGAGTCCTGCGCTGGACAGCAGGCAGGAAAGTGAGCTGGACCTGCCTCCCAGCGCAGCTCGGCCGGGCCACAGGGCAGCTGGTGAGTGCGGAGGTGGGGGCTCCAGCCGTGAAGCCCAGAGGGGGAAGAACCCCTGGGGAGTGGGGGTTGGCTCAGGCACGGGAGGAGGAGACCCCTAACTTGAGACTTAGGAAGAGTAAAAGGCAGCGTTGGGCTCCTGGGCTCTGGGCATTCCAGGTAGGAGGGAGACAGACCAGAGATGGCTGGAGCCTGTGAGTGGGGTCTAGGGGGCAAGAGAGGGGTCTCAGTATGGAGGAGGCGGGGAGACCTACCTGTCCAACTGTGTAACTTGGCCTTTATCTGAGGGCACTAGGGAGCCATGGCGAGTTGTTGAGCAGAGACAGGTCGAGGGGTTAAAACGAATTTCTTGTTCTTGAAATGATAAAGTCATAGACACAGAAGAGATTGGTGGTTGCCAGGGGTTAGGAAAGATTGGGGGTGTCACAAAGGAAGGCACTAGGAAGGATCCCTCACGACAGAGATGACCCAGCCCTCCAAATAGAGAAATCCCGTGGGTATGTTTTTTCTGAATTAAACCTTTAATTTCTGTGGGTTTTTTGTCCGGCTTTATTGAGGCGTAATTGGTCACAGTGTAAATATCTAAGATGTATAACATGGTGTTTGTCATATGTGTGCCCTGAACGTCGACCCGGTTGGGCTGACCCACGGGCTGCTGTGCTGAGCCTGAGAACTCGTAAGATCCCTTGCTCTGCTACCATCACCCTCTGAGACCTCCCGGAGCGTGCCCGGCAATGTCTCGGTAGTCAGTCAGGACTACACTGCAGGTGACCTCACTCTGCCATGAGCTCTGTCCGTAAGACGTTGAGACATGGAATATCTGAGTCCCGCCATGGATTCAACACACCTCACCAGGGATGTCACCACCCAGCCACACACATGCTGCTGAGATGGCAGTTTCCCTGTGTGACCCCGGACCTGCCACCAGGTGTCCACCAGGTGTCCAACCCCGGGAAAGACCAGCTTCAAAATTCAAAGTGTGGTTTCTTCTGAATACATAATGCTTTTGCACCATTTTAATCCTCAAAAGCATGAGCCCAGCAGGTTCATACAGGTACTGTGGGATGTAATATGTTCTGTAATGTGTTTCGCATGTATCCTGTTAATATCCTATGGGAAATGTGGCGTTTATGTCCTATAACATGACAGCAGGGGTAGTGTCATGATAGGTTGCCCCAGGGTTGAAAGCCACCGAGAACGTGGCTCTGCCGTCCAGGCAACGTGGGCGGCTGCAGGGCAGCGCTCCCCTGGCTCCTGGTGTGCCCAGCGCAGTGCTGAGGGTGCAGAGGGCAGAGAGCCGGGCGTGGGCCCCTCCTGGACCCAGCAGGCAGAGGCCGTGTCCTCCTCGGTGCAGCGCCTGGACCCGGAGGGGCAGGCTCAGCCCGAGCGACCCGGAGGCCTCTGGATGTCTCCATTTCTCCATCCTCCCAGGCTGCACGGACCTCCCAGGGTCACTGTGAGGAGCAAATGTGATAATAATCCCCACAGAGTGGCGCGGGGCCTCCTGGCACCAGGTCGTGGGACTTGTATGGAGTGGCACTCCGGGCCTGGCGTACAGTAGAGGGCAAAGCAGGACCCCTGTGGAGCCTACGGCGTGTGGCTGGAAACAGATATTAATCACATCTCCACACTAATGAGTGTGTAATTATAAACTGAGATAAGTGCCGGGGAGAGATCCACAGCAGCTGCCCTTCCTCTCCGACTCAGTGCCCAGCTAAGGGAAGCCCGAGCCGTCTTGCCCCGGGGTGGGGTCCTCACTCTGGCCTTCCTTCCCACCTGGGCTCAGGGAGGGAAGCGGCAGGCCTGAGATGGGAGGGAGAGTCTGGCAGTGTCCCTAGCTGACCACGGCCCCCCGCTGCTAGGCTGCTTTGCGTCACTGTCACAGAATACTCAAGAAGTCAGCTTAAAAGGAGGGAAGGTTTCTTTTGGCTCTCAGCTTCAGGCTGAGGTCACTTGGCCCTGCCTGTCCTTCCGGGGCAAGTCCTGATGACCAGCTTCTCCCACTGGTCCCACCCCCTGATGGAGCCAGCACCTCCCAACAGCACCATGGCCCTCGGCCCTCAGGACGCCCCTGGTCCAGGCCATCGCCCGTGTGGGTGGGGACGGCCGTGCGTGCACCCCTTTCTGTCTGTCTCTGGGGTGTCCTGGTGTGCCGCTGAGGTTTCTGGGCACGCGCTTCTCGGTGGCCTCGAGCTGTGCCTGCTTGGTGCGTCTCTGCAGCTTCTTTGTATCCGTGTGTGTGTGTGTGTGGGGGGGGGTGTGCGCATTTCTTCCCCGGGTTTCGTCCCGACTGTGCGCATGGGCTTGTGTGTTGGAGGGTGCTGTGCAGAGACTCTTCGTGTGTCCTCTGATGTGTGTCTGTGCTGTGCGACCCTGTGTGTGTGTGTGTGTGTGTGTGCTCGCTAAGTGATTTGCAGCATGTCTGTCTGCAGGTTTCTACTTGTCCATCTCTACCTGGCCCAGGCTTCTTCACAGAGGGGGATGGGAGAGAGGAGGAGCTTCCCTCTTACCGCGGCCTTGGCAAACCCAGAAAGGGGAAGCCACGGGCCTCGTGGGCAGGAAACAAGAGGAACTGGCCCTGGGCACATCCCTTCCTAGCTCTGTGACTTTAGACAATTTGCTTCACCTCTCTGTCTCCGTTTCAGCTGTTACACGGGGTAGTAATGTTACTATTTAGTGGCATTGCTGGGAGTGAGCTAATCCAGGTAAAGTTTCCAGCAGGCCTCTGGCACAACACCTGGGCCACGCATGCTGGCTCTTTGTGACGTGACGATGGTTGTCATGGTTTGGGTGTGAGGTGTCCCCAAGGCTCCTGCCAATGCAGGGATGTTTGGAGGTGACATGGTTGGCCTGTGAGAGCTGTCCCTCCATCAGTCCATCTTAGTTTGAATGGACTGACTGGGTGGCCACTGTGGGCAGGGGCGGTGTGGCCGGAGGAGCTGGGTCACTGCCCTGGAAGGACTGGTCTTCCGGTGGCCCTGTCCCAGCCCTGCTTCCTGACTCCCCATGACGGACGGCTGTCCTCCACGAGGCCTTCCCTCAAACGCAGCCTCAGAGCAGGGGAGCGGCTGCCATGGAACGGACTCTGAACCCCTGAGCCCTGGGAACTTTTGCTCCTCCAAGTTGTTCTAGTCGGGCGTCTCGGTCTCGGGGACGTGAGAGCTAAGACACGCCTGGTAACGCAGGGCGCCACAGGCAGGTGATGAAGCTGTGGCTGTTTTAATTTCACCTCCGTCATTTAATTCTGCCGTCCTCACCCGCCCTCTCGGGAGTGACTGTAGCTGTGCTGGAGAGGCCAGAGTTCCGAGGGACACTGGGGAGCAGGGAGGTACCAGAGGCGAGCCTGGTGACGGAGGCTTATGAACTTGAACT